TATGTAATATAAACACTCGCACTATTTTAGGTAACCTCCTAGTAACCCCGTCCGACTCGGCGCTGCTGTTGATAAAAACATACGGAGATTAGGATTTATCAGTAGGCTCACCCACTGATTATATATTGCACCCGTGTATTTTCAATTATTTTAATATACACCTTATTGCCTGCAACATAAAGTATAAAATAACTCATGACGTTGTTACACCGTGTACTGATTTTCGAGATGAGATTACTTTCGACGTTAATCAGCTTTATCAACGTAAAATATAGTAGTTGGTGTAATAGACCAGAAAAAATAGGTGTCAAAATTCGTTTATATGATTAGTTGGTTACTCATTTTACGTTTTGTGGTTACGTCCAAAATGTAAATTAAGTCTCGAGGAACCTGTTTTTACTGGAAATGTCAAGTTTAAATCGTATTTGAAGCTAATATATTTATTGTTGATTTAGTAAAGTGTCGAGTTCTTGGATTTTCGACTCGCTCATGACCATTTTGTTTAATGTAATTTTGTCTCCATAAATACTATGTAGAGATGTGTAGCTCATAGCATTGTTTTTTTCCTAAATCAAGATAGGACTTCGTAAAAAAAACAAAATGAAATACATATTATGTTATTTTTATCACGCACTTTAAATTTATATGCATGTAGCCACAAATAAAAGAAAGTATATTTTATATTTATTTATATACTATAAATTTTTCAATAATTTATTTTTAAATATTATCCAAAGCAAGTTGTAATTACTATATATTATTGCCATATTAAAATAATAGAAATCTCTTATACGTATCGTATTCAATGAAGGTAGTAAAACAAAATAATAATGGTCACACACGTTTAAAAACCAATAGAGAAGATCGTAAAAGTGAGATCAGCCCCTCGAATTCGTCACGTCCCTTCAGATTCGGTAAATATTAAAATATCAAAGGCCTGTGGCTACGCGTGTGTCGCCCCTACATCTACGCCGTTAAGGTGTGGTGCAAGTATATTAATTTAAACGCTAATCTATACTAATATTATAAAGAGGTAAAGTTTGTGAGTGTGACATTGTAGGGGGTAATCTCTGGATCTACTGAACATGGATACCTTTTATCCCAGAAATCATCCCTTAAGGGGGTGAAAATGTAAGTATATTGTTTGTTTATATCGATCTTATTTTGTACTCACATTTATTGTGTAATGATGTGTTTAAAGTAAAATAAGATGGCAGAGTGCTTTATAAATATTAGTCACCTAGTGCTCGAAACTCGACCATGAAGAAAACATATGAATAGAATTTACCTATCTATATAAAAAAAACTATTTCCAATTTTTTTATTGATTACACTAAAAAGCTTGTCAATAGATACTAAATTGAATGAATGTGAATCGACTTTCATTGTTTTTTTTTTTCATATAAAGCTATACCTCAAAAGTAGTTTCATATAAATAAAAAACCCCTTAAGAGATGATTCTGAAAGAGAATCTTTTAAAGTCTCCTCTAAGTTTCAGTCGCTTTTGACTTGGACAACCATTTTAATTGAGATTGACCCCAGAAATATTATACAAAACGTGTCATACCTTATTACGTCAGCGTAAAGATTAAAATCCTTTAAAATTATGTAAATTGGGACCTAGTTTATCCCGCGCCGTCGACACAGAGCACGACTGGATACAATACGCTTCCGAATTTCTATTGGATTTGCGTTAATTAAGACATTGTTGTTCGATATTATGTTTAAATGAAATAAGTATGAATGTATTATATTAAAGTGCGTTGAGATAAGGAAACGTGTGAAAGAAGATTTTATCAAAGCTTATTTTAACGAAGGTTTTACTAAAAGTTTTTGGCATTATCATTGTTAGGTGGCAATAAATACTTCATTTATTGCATAAATTCTTATTGTATACTAGCATTGCCCGCGGCTCCGCCCGCGTTCAGATGACCAAAAACTAAATGCTTAGTTTTACATATTAGTATACTCTTACATTGCAGTTTTTGTATTTTTTCTCAGAAATGAGATATTTTCCCGCTGTAAAAGTATCTTATATGTTGACCCGGATTACCAGCTATCATCATACCAAATTTCATGAAAATCCCTTCAGTGGTTTTTCCGTGATGCGGTAACATACAGACAGACAGGCAGACAGATAAAAATTCTAAAAACTATAGATTCGGCCTCTGTATCGAAAATAATGCTTATTTCAATAAGATTTTCCAAAAAATATTTAATGTACAGATTCGGCTTAGTTACAATTTTATTATATGTATAGACACTTAGTAAAGTTACTAATAACAAGGTCTGTAAATCCGGAAAAATCTACATGATAATGAACATTTGTCGACACGTTTGGCTCAGTTTGTAGTGACCCTACTCGCTGTGCCAGCGGTCGCGGGTTTGAGTTCCGCTGGGGGCATTCATTTGTGTGATGAGCACGAATGTTTGTACTCCAGTCATGGGTGTTTATATTTATAATATGTAGTATGTATGTATTTAAATTTATATATGTGTAGTGTATCAACTATCTGGTATCCATAACACAAGCCTTACCTTACCATGGAACTAGATCGTGCTGTGTGTTAATGTCCCAACATATTTATTTAAAAAAAAAGCATAGTTATTATATTTGTCAATTTTAATTAAATAAAAAACTTAAAAAACAACAAAAACATTTTTTTAAAAAGGAATAACGTATACTTATCCGTAGAATGAGGAAATTGAAATCCGCAATTGATCGTAAATAGTAAACTTTTGGGAATAACACAATTTGGGCATATAGACCGGATGTTTTCCCGATTTCTCGGAAAATACCATGATGTTAATAAATAGAGGAAATCCAAGGTCTATGCATGATTATCCAATCATACTTTGCCATATACTTCGGTAATAACTAAAATTAACGTTTTACCCCATCGATCAAAAAAGTACTAGATCAGCGATAAAAATGTATTTTTTGTGAAAACAGCTTTAAGCATTGCATTTAAGGTTAAATTTACATTGTTATTTCAACAATAAAAATTATCTAAACACAATTGGTGACAGTTTTAAGAGAATTTTTGCATGGGATTTGTGTATCCAGTAGTAGTAGATACTTTTTTGATCGATGTTTCACCCAAATATAATTTCGAAGGTAAAAAGATATATTTATAGACTCCTCAGTCCTCACATCACTTGGCAATGAGGGTGGGTCCTGATCGAGAGGGTGCGACCTTTAGAGCACAAATAAGTTTAAACATCCGTCCGGGGGGTTTTATTGCATTACGTTACTTGGGGGAAAACGTCAATAGTTAAAGTCGTTCGAAATACTGTACAGATAATTTATATTAGGGTGACTATAATACAGGTTCGGCTTGCTACGAATCTTTAGTTTTCATATAATAATTTTGTAACTTAAGTGATGATATATCATTTTTGAGGGATTTATTTTGAATTTTTATGTTATTTTTCATTTAGTGGCGAGGTGCAATTAAATGTTATTGCTTATTGAAAAAAATAGTCTTGCTTATACCTAAATTGTAAATTTTTCTATTGTGTATTAATTTCGGATAGATTTCATAAGAAAATTACTAAGGAACATGTTACTTGATATCTATACTTAATATTGTAGAGCCCGAGTTTACTTGTTTTAATGCGCTTATCTCAGGAAATTATTTATTTAGGAAGGCTATAGTACGAGTATATCATCATGCTACTATCGAAGGGAGCTGAGCAGTAATCACAAATGTCAACAAATTCTTCCATACATTATTGTAAAACTGATGTTTATAATCAAACAAAAACGCGGGTGAAACCGCGGAGCATAGCTAGTTTACTTATAATTAGGGGCATGTTATTTTCTCTATGAATAAATTTGCTGCTGTCGAACAGGTTTTAATTGAAATGCATTCATAAAACTGTCACTACGAAGAAAAATGAGACGAGTTTGTTAGACTTAGTTACGAACAAGGACGTAAATACATCTAATGCATAATTAACACTTGTACCTATATAAGATAAATTATGGTAAATTAGAAATTCAGCTTTCAATATAAACTAGACTAGCTATCATTTTAAAACGATTTTGCTACCTATATATATATACTTAATAATTACTATTATAAAGAGGCAGAGTTTGTTTGTTTGTATGTTTGTTTAAACGCGGTAATCTCAGGAACTACTTATGCGATTTGTAAAATTCTTTTTGCATTATATATAGGTTATATATCATCATCACCCAAGTGAGCAGAGCAGTAATATAATATATAGGCTATCTATTCCATACTATCCGTTAAAACGGACCTAGGGACAAACCCGACCGAAGCGAGGGTGAGTCGCTAGTTTAAATAATATTTATAGATTCTGTACGCATATCTCTTGGCTTAACTCTTAGCTCAACCTTCTAGCATCCCTAAGTTTCTAATTACAATAAATTAATATATAACATGCTTACGTAACCGATTTATGTGCCGTGATGAAAAATTACACATTTTCGTACATTTTTTATAACATAAACAAGAATTTTCTTGATGATTATCTAAATGATTAGCTTGATTCCCCATATAAACTTTCATCCCCATTTTCACCCCCTTAAGAGATGATTTCTGGGATAAAAAGTATCCTATGTCCTTACTAGGGTCTCAAACTATCTCCTTACCAAAATTTCATCTAAATCGGTTCTGTAGATCCAGAGATTACGTCACACACTCACAAACTTTACCTTTTTATAATATTAGTATAGATTTGATTATTAACCAATAAGTAATCTCAAGCACGAGAGCCAAGGGTTCGAATCGAATATTGTTAAGTGCTCAGTGTATTTTTTATAGCGGACTAGGACCAGGTTGTTGTTTATACGTACATACATATATATTATATATAGATAATTTAAGCGAAAACACAATTTTGAATATCATTAGAACTATTATTTACCTTTCAAGGCTGTATAAAGACGACTTTCTTTTTATTTTTGAACCAGACTTATGTTACATGAGAATATGAAGATGAGAAATGTGACAGTATTTTATATTTTCCAGATGCTGGCGAGCTTTGCTTAAACAAGGGTTGCTGCGGTGCCGGCGCACGCACACGTCTCACGCTACAAGCGCGTTCGCAACTAGAAGCCGCGCTTCGCAGTGAGCTTAATAAGCTCGCTGATATCCTCTCTTCGAAAGCTAAGCGGTTTGATGGTAAGTTATAAATATAATCTATACTTCTATACTAATATATACCTGAGGAGTTTGTTTGCTTGTTCGTTCGTAAAAATATATTTCATGGACAGATTCGGCTCAGTTAGAATTGAAATAAAAAAATATGCTCTAGATTATTGTTGTTATTTCAGTCATTTAAATAAGGAAACTTGTTACATTATAACACTATGTATATAAATGTACGTATGTCCATTGTACTAAATATATATATGTAAAATAAAATATATCGAACTTATGACCTCTGATGTTTAAGTGCAAGTACGCCAGATGGCATACATTATATCCCTAGCAATAAAGCATTTACTATAATTTGCCATGTCTAGACTACTTCAAACTTGTTAGGAAACGTTTCCTCGTAACATCGCCGCCCACGGGAAGCAGTTGTTTGTTAATTTCTTATCTAGTCTGAATATCTTAATCGGACTTTGTATCTCGTGGATGTTTTAAAAAAAACTTATTATATCCGCCCGCGTTTAGATAACCAAAAACGAAATCCTTATGTTTTACATATCAGTATACTCTTACATTGCAGTTTTTGTATTTTTCTTTAGAAATGAAATATTTTCCCGCAGTAAAAATTATCCTATATGTTGACCCGGATAACCAGCTATATTCATACTAAATTTCATCAAAATCTATCCAGTGTTTTTCCCGTGATGCGGTAACAGACAGACAGAAAAACAGACAGACAGACAAAAATTCTAAAAACTATGGATTCGGCCTCTATATCAATAATAAAGTGTATTTCAATAAGATTTTCTAAAAAATATTCAATGTACAGATTCGGCTTAGTTACAATTTTATTATATGTATAGATTAGCAGAACCCACGGCTTCGCTGGCGCTAATACTACAAAAAAATAAAACTTTTTGACATACTACTTATTAGTACTAATGTATGGAAGTCTGCCCGATTTGTTAACATTTATGGTTACAAACAAACACTGTTTGTATATTATTTGTTTGTTTGTCTGTCCTTCTTTCACGTCGGAAAAAATTACGGATTGGCGTAATTTTTTGTGTGAGATAGTTGCGAGGGCTGGAGAGTGACATAGACTAATTTTTACCGCTATATAGTCCGTATATAGTCTATTATTCTATACTAATCGTTAAAACGTACCTATGGACGAAGTAAGTCGCTAGTTCATTCATATTTCGTAAGATATTCCACTGCGAACCCAAGTGAGTGGACGGTGTTTATAAATAGACGCGTGACCGCTCGCGGGTTATCGCAAGAAAACTGTACTCATACTGCTTCTACTATTGTTTTTTTTATTTAATTTAAATTTATTTATTATAAAACTTTGTTATTTATTCCCCCTTGCTTGTATGAAATAATGATAGGAAAAATTAATGAAATATATGGGATATTCACTTATGACGCAAAATAACATTATGAGGTATCCATAGGAAAACGTATCTTTTAGATTATTTTTGTTTTTAATGCATTCTAAAAGGAGTAAGAGCTTTAAACACCAAAACTATAGTATAAAACTAATCAACACTGTCATTTAGACTTACGCGAACATTTGAACTTGAATTATTGTTTTATAAATCAATTGGAATTATTGTTTAACATTTTTATTCGGTGCCATTTCTCTTCTCTTTCAAATTATCTATACTAATATTACAAAGAGGTAAAGTTTGTGATCTTGTGAGTTTGTGAGTTTGTGGGTTTGTGAGTTTGTGAGTTTGTGACGTTGTAGGGGGTAATCTCTGGATCTACTGAACCGATTTTCAAAATTCTTTTACCAATAGAAAGCCACGTTCTTTCTGAGTGTCATAGGCTATATATTAACGCGAAGAATGAAAAGGCTTTTTCGTGGTAGTCGGATTTGCAAAGTAAGTCGGAGAAAAAACGGTCGAACGAAAAGGTTTCTTACGAACGCTGCATTAACGGTGAGAGATATATGATTATGTTCTAGAAAAAAGTTGTAGAGCTTAATAATGCCTACAAAAAAGTCAGCGACAGCATATGTCTAACTTTTATATTTAAGTCACAAAAAGTAGTTTTTTATATTAAAAAAATAATTTAAATCGGTAGGTCATGTTTATTGGTCATATTATCAACAATTATGAATTCTTATCAAAATAAGTAAATTTATCGTCTAAAATGTTTAAAACAAAAGACTTTTCCCTTTTACTGCATATAATTTGGACAAATGGTTAAAGAGATAATACAACATATTCGTAGGTATGGACGAACCCGAGCGAGCTGTTTATCTGTTTTCCTATTTGTACGGGCTAATCTCCGAATCTATTGGACCGATTTAAATAAAATTTTGCATGGTGGTACCTTATATCCCCGTGCAACATCTTAGATACTTTTTATCCCGGAAAATTAAAGATTTCCCGTGGGATAGTTAAAAAACTATAACAACTTATACAGCTTAGTACACAAAAACTACTGATTGGATTTTAATGAAACTTTACAATAATATAGTTCATACATGACTAAAACAAATCAGCTACTTTTCATCCCGGAAAATTAAAGAGTTTCCGTGGGATAGCCAAAAAACTATAGTAACTTATACAGCTTAGTACACAAAAACTACTGATTGGATTTTGATGAAACTTTACAATAATATATATAGTTCATACATCAGAATAAGAAATAGGTTACTTTTTATCCCGGAAAAATGTACTGTTCCCGTGGGATAGATGTTTTTGTTTATTTGTAACGTATTATGTACACAACATAAACCCCAAAACAATAGTTATTAAAAAGTTGTCTGTTTGTCTGTTTGCCTGTATGTCTGTTTTTGCGTGAGCATTTCACGCGAAAAGTAATGTACTGATTTCAACGAAATTTGGTGATAACTTATTACTCGAGTTAACATTTAGGATACCTTTTGTATGTATTTATGTATGTATGTATTCAGCCCTTTTTAACGTCCCACTGCCGGGCACGGGCCTCCCTTCAGTACGAGGGGGATCAGGCTATAGTCCACCACGCTGGCCAAGTGCAGGTTGGCGGACTTCACATTTCTTTTGAAAACTTGCTGGGTTCTCTCAGGCATGCAGGTTTCCTCACGATGTTTTACTTCACCGTTAAGACAAGTGGTAATTGTGTTAGAAATGATTCGCACATGAAAATATCAGAGGTGCGAGACCCGGGATTTGAACTTGCTTCATTCGGTTTCCCAAGCGAGCGCGTTACCACTGGGATACCACTGCCTAGATACCTTTTACTTCAAGAAAATCTTTCTTTCCCACGGGAAAATACAATAACTGGTTTTATAGAGTCCTCCTTAGAAACCTTCCGCTGGCTAAGCCTTAAGACATACATACATTAAAACAATATACAAAAAAATTGTAGGTCTTGAAAAGTCCTACAGAAAAGTTCTGAATTGTATATGTCTATCTCCTAAGTTACACTCGCAATATTTATTCTTATCTATACGTATAATAAAACTAACTTAGTCAAATCGATGTGCGCGTTTCACGCAAAAAGTACTCAACTGATTTTAACTAAATTTTGTAGTGATAAAACTTAGTACTCGGGTCAACATTTAGGATACCTTTTACGATAGGCAAATTATTGATTACTCGAAAACACAATAACTGGTTCTATCGAATCGTCCTTAGGCTAACGTTGGCTCAACCTTAAGAGATAGATCAAAACATTGTGCAGGAAAATTGTAAGTCCTAAAAAGGTCTATAGAAAAGTTCTACATAGTATATGTCTTTCTCCTAAGGTACACTCGCTATAATTATTTTCATTATTATATATTACTGTTTTATTATACGTTATTTATTCTATTCTATCTATACATATAATAAAACTGTAGAGGTTATTTCTCTTCTGTTTGTCTGTTTGTACGGGCTAATCTCCGAAACTATTGAACCGGTTTAAATTAAATTTTGTATGGTAGTACCTTATATCCCCGGTCAACGTCTAAGATACTTTTCATTCCAGAAAATTAAAGAGTTTCCATGGGATAGTTAAAAAACTATAGTAATTTATACAGCTTAGTAAACAACAACTTACGTACCTAATTTCGTAAAATTTGGCATGCTGATACCTTATACTGCCGGTCAAATAACAGGTTACTTTTCATCCCGGAAAAATGAACGGTTCCCGTGGGATAGATCTGTTTGTGCTATTCTAGAGGTGAACCCGAGCGAAGCGAGGGTGAGCCGCTAGTTATATAATATTTGTGTGTGTAGAGACCGTCTGTAATAGCGAAAACTTTAATCACTCCCGTGACCCGTGCTTAATCACGATCAAAAAATACTGAGAAAAATCGCGATAAAATATTTTATTTAAAATGTAAAATGCAAACTTCAGTATACCTACTAAAATTAATAAATGAAAACGGGTCAAGAATCAAGTTCAATATATAATTTCTCAATAAACTAACAAGTGGTAGGAGCTTTGTTTTGTCTTGAAAGCTAACAAATAATAAATGAAGTAATACAGACGGAATTCGCGGTACTGAGTGCCGTATGAGCGGTATCAAAGAACTTGCTGAGTGACCTACCTTAATAAAGATAATCGCAGGTTATCTGTTAACAGGTTTTTAACCGACTTTGAAAAAAAACTAGCTACAAAATTGATGTGTATGCTCTTTATGTTACGCGATATCTTCTCAATTGTGGATTGATTTTTATCATTGTTTTTAACCCCCGACGCAAAAAGAGAGGTGTTATAAAGTTTGTCGTCGATGTCTGTCTGTGTGTGTGTGTCTGTGGCATCGTAGTTCTCAAACGGATGGACCGATTTCGATGCGGTTTTTTTCATTTCAAAGTGAGTTTCCTTGCGGTGGTTCTTAGCTATGTTTGGTTAATATCGGTCCAGCAGTGTATCAGTTCTTTTCCAAAATGATTTAAGGCATTTTGGCGTACTCGATTAATTGCTTTACGCGTGCCAGTGTAATCGTTAAATGACAATTAATTTGCGTAGGGGGTTTTATAAATTTTTAATTTATAATTATTTAATGAAGCTTACGTACCGTTTTAATTAAAAAGTAGTTTAAA